CACAGTGATGCTACTCTCATTACTTATAGCTGATTTTTCAGCCCCAGCTAACCAGCATCAATTGTCCCAATAAAGCAAAGGTTTTACTTCAGGTTCTGGTCTCTTCTTAATCACAGCTGATTCTTCAGCCCCAACCAACCAGAACCCACAGATCCTCAATCCAAAATCTCATACGAACAGCCCTGATACTCTCCGTTTCCCTTTGAAGCTTCATAAGCCAGGCCTCCATGTCTACAACTCTTTCAGCATAACTGTTCCAAGCTCTATTGCAACAAACTGAGCACGCAATGGCTTTTCCAGCCCAAAGTTCCAAACACTTCCACAGTCCTCCCAAAAACACCAAGGTCAGGTCTGTCACAGCAATATCCCACTCTCTGGTACCAATTTCTGTCCTAGTTTGTTTCTCCATTGCTGTGACAAAACACTCTGACCAATACTATCTTGGGGGAGGAAAGGGTTTATTCCGCTTACATCTCCCAGGTCACAGTTCATCAGGGAGCCCAAGGTAGGAACTCAGGGCAGGAACCTGGAAGCAGGAGCTGGAGCACAGACCACGGAGGAACTTTGCTTACTGACTTGCTCCCCTGGCCCCTGCTCAGCCTGCTTTCTTATGCAACACAGGCCAACCTGCCCAGGGGTGACACCACCCACAGTGGGCTGGGCCCTCCCACATCGCTCAACCATCAAGAAGATGCCCCACAGACATGGCCACAGCCAGTTCAATAGAGGCAATTCCCTGATTGTGGCTCTCTCAACCCAGGTGTATCAAGTTGACACTAAAGCAATCCAGCACACATGGTAAGAATAGGAGGTGGGAATTGGCTAGGCAGTTAGGGTAAAAGGACCCCAAAGAAAAGTAGCCAGTTTCTTGGCTAAAATTCAAAATGTCCTTGGGCCTCTTGGCAGCATACTCTGTTCCAAAGTCCAAAAATGTCAAAAGTATTTGGGAGCTTGTATCTAATCCTTAAAAGATTTTAGGGTTCCCTCTTCAGAGGGGGGAATGTTGGAGTAGCCAAAAGCCCCATAAAAAGAAATGAATGAAAGAAGAAAGGAAAAGAAAGTGATGGGGACATGGGAGGAGTTGGGGGTAGGGAGTGGGCATGGATTTGATCAAAACACCTTATATGCATGTTGAAATTCTCTATAAAGTTTTTGTAAAAGTTAAAAAAAAAGGGGGGAACATCTGGGGGTGTCTGTCACAAGCACATTCAGTGCAGTGTCTTTGAAGAAAGATACTTCAGGCAGAGCTGCCCCCTCCAGGCCTCTGTAATACCATCCCTTACCTTGAGCTCTTTTCCCTGTCACCTCCAGAACTATGTCTTTTCCTCAGAGTCTAGAAGCTTCCAGAGACATACAGAGCTCAGAGAGCTGACACATGGAGGTGCCATAGAGTCCCACTGAATAGTACAAGTACCACCCAACCCACTGTGGCTCCCAGACCCACTGAAATGCAAAAAGCTAAAATATACTGAGTACTTTCTAGACTCCAGACACTTGTTAAAAGCTTTATAAATATTAACTAATTGATCCCTGCTGAAAAGTGAGGAAGCAGGGCACAGTGAAAGGGAAGGATTTTTCCCAATTCACATAGCTGGCATATGGAACAGGTGATCAACGCATAACAAACCTCTATGCTACTCTATGCAGCCAGTTCCTTAACATGGAGTCTGCATGTTAAGGGTTCCAGTCCTGTCTCCCTCTACAATTGCTGGACTGTGTGACCTTAGCCAAGTTCCTTGTCTTCTCTGAGCCTCATGAACTCGAGAAGTCAGAACGTTCCCTGACTCCTCATCCCAGGAGGCACAGTAACGATGGGTAAACCTGCCACAATATTTAATGATCTGGAGAAACCATGAAGGTCATGGTCTCCTTGGGCTTATAGAAGGAGCTTCTGGGAAGATGAAGGGCCACGGATGGTGAGGAGGCTAGAAGAGGTGGGCAGGGCAAGGACACCACATGTGTTAACCTGTCTGCTCACCCTGCAGATCCACTCCCCCTCTCTGCAGCATTCTAGGAGGGAACCTTCCCAGTGATGCACCCCTGGGGCCAGCTGGATCTGAACACAGGATGACACTGGGATAATATTTCTTTCTCAGCCCTTTCCTGCAAGTGCAGGGAGTCGGGAGCCACAGGTGTCTGTTTAGGGCAGCCTCCCACTTACAGCATGAGTGCCAGTGTTTTCTTCAGTTAGCCTAAGGGTGGAAGGGCTCTCTCTTAGTCCTTTCAAAGATGCAAAGGGCTTTGCTCTGTTGTTAGTCCCCAGGGAACAGGTTTCCTCACTCTTCCTAAATAGTCCCTCCATTCTGCCCAGTTCACCCCCTGGAGGATGCCAGTTGTTGCTGAGGCACTGAGAGCCTAAGGATTCTGATAATGACATCTGTAGACCATCACTGCTGGGCTGGATGCCTTGGTAGCTCCTCCCTGTCACTGAGTCCCCATAGCAGCCCCCCCCCAGAAGAGGGGCTCTTTCTCCACTCCCAGCAACACTGCACACTGTTGGTCACACACTCCCTCTAGAACATTCCTTCTGGTAGCTCTTCCAAATTAAGCTCTTGGGCTCCTCTCAGTTCACTCTGCCGCTACTTCTGGGTCTTTGGACTGACTCTACCTCCTCTCTGGGATCTGCCTGGTTGCTCTGGGTTCTCTTCTCTACCCAACTAAGTCACCCTTTCCCATAGTGTGACTTCTCCCTGTGTGCTGAGGTCTGAGCCTTGGGTCACCAAGCTATGTGTCCTGTCTGACTTGGGCTCTGGTGGCTCTGTTTGGATAACTCGCAGCATCTGAAACCTAGCTGGTCCAACAGAGCTGTGATCCTCCCCAGTGTTTTCCTCCCCTTTGTCTCTCCTCTCCTGCCCAGCCTGAGCCTCAGGCCAGACCCTGGAACCCATTTGTACCATCTGCCTCTCCAGCAACCTTCTGGTTTACAAGGTCTCTAGATTCCACAGATCAAATCCACCTTCACACAATCCAAAGAGTATAATCTCTCTGGGGGATGAAGGAAAAAGCCCCCATTCTTATCAGGATGCAGTTCTTGCGTTCTTGCCCATGAAAATTAAACCCAAATTCCTCACCATGGCCTTCCTTCTCCACCACACACACCTGCAATTCTCCCTCCCTTCTGTACCCTGTTGCTCCACTGGCTTTTCCTCAGGCCTCTCCAAGACCAGGACTTCCTTCCCCTCTTCCCCTACATGACCCTTTTCAGTTTCTTCTTGGCTTCCTCAGTTTCCCAAGGTTTCCCCCAAGGCCTCCCTTAGCATCATTCTTCGAGGGTCAGTGGAAAACCCCTTTGGAAGAGGACTTCCTGGACCCCCAAATCCAACCACTACTTTTTTGGGGGGTGGTCTTTTTGAGACAGGGTCTCCCTGTAGCCCCAGCTGTCCTGGAACTCACTATGTAGACCAGGCTGGCCTTGAACTCACAGAGATCTGCCTGCCTCTGCCTCCAGAGTGCTGGGATTAAAGGCGTGTGCCACCATACCCGGCTCAACCATTACTTTTTAAAAAATATTTGATTATGGGCTGGAGAATGGAGAGACAGCTCAGCGGTTAAGAGAACTGGCTGCTCTTGCAGAAGACCTGGGTTCGACTTCCAGCACCCACTTGGTGGCTAACAACCATCTATAACTCCAGTTCCAGGGGAATCCGACACCTTCTTCTCACCTCCTTGGGCATTGCACGACATGGGTGCACTTACACACATGCAGGCAATACACTTATACACTTAAATAAAATATTTTAAAAACTTATTATAGGACTGGAGAGATGGCTCGGTGGTTAAGAGTACTGGCTGCACTTGAAGAGGATGCAGCCTCAATTCCCAGCACCCACATGCCGGCTAACAACCATCTGTAACTCCAGTTCCAGGGGATCCAACACCCTCTTCTGACTTCATGGGCACTGCACAACATCGATGCACCCACCTACTTATGTGTATGTTTTGCCTACATGTGTGTAAGTGCATCACATGCATGCAACGCCCATAGAAGCCAGAAGAGAGCAATGGATCCCAGGAACTGGAGTTATGGACATTTGTTAACCACAATGTGGGTGCTGGGAACTGAACCTGGGTCCTCTGTCAGAGCAACCAGGGCTCTTAACCACTGAGCCATTTCTCCAGCCCCAATTTATTTTTATGTGTATGAGTGTCTTGCTTGTGTGTATGTAACTACATAATGTGTGTCCCTGGCACCTGCAAAGGCCAGAAGAGGGCATTGGATTCCCTGGAACTGGAGTTAGTTACAGCCCACTGTGAGCTGCCAAATGGGTGCTGGGAACTGAGCCTGAGTCCTCTGCAAGAACAGCCAATGCTCTTAACCACTGAGCCATCTCTCCAGGCCCCACCACTGCTTTTGCTCTGCTTCTCAGTTGGGAGACTAGATCCCATTTCATAGGTGAGAAATACAAGACTTGAAGAGATGGAGACTCCAAGCCCGGACTGTTTGTGCTGTGTTCCAAGGTGAGCTGCAGCCTGCTCTCAGCAGGGGAGGGTTGGATTTAGATGAGTGTGAGGGAAAAAAAATGAATATAAAATGCTCAGCGCCACGCCTGGCAAGTGGTAAGCATTCAATATTACTGCCTTCCTCAGTGTGACTACAGCCAGGAGGGACGGGCTTCTCCCCCACAAGCCCTCCTGGATTCCAGCAGCAAGGAATCCTCTAGGGGACATGGAGACCACTCCCTCCCAACTTTGCAACAGTAGGTTGAACTGGGCTGAAGCCACTGAGGAATTCAAGCAGGGCTCTCCAAATAGCTTCCCTCATTCCTTCTGAAAGTTACCCAAATAAACTCACCCTCAAAGTGAAAATCATCAGGTCCTTTCTTGGACAGGTGTGCCTGAAGCCCAAACCCCTCTCCTCATCAGATTACCACCCCTCCCTACAGGAGAGAGGGTTGGCACAACTCTGACTTGGCATGGTCCTGACCCTGGCCACCCAGGGCTTTGTTAAGTTCTGTGAGTCAGACACTGGCTCCTGGGGTCCCCTGGCAGGCTCTCAACCTATGGTCCAGCTCCAGGAGAACACAGCCTCCCTTTCAGAAGAAGGGTGGGTAGGCCTAGCTCTCCAGCCTCAGCCAAACTCAAGACCCTTCCCTCGCCCCTGCCAATCCCTGCCCTAGGGCCCTTGCGTGCCCCTCTCCAGCCCCCTGAGCCCTCAGGCATCACTCCCCTCCTCCGGCTGTTAGCCTGGGAAGGGGGCCAGGCCCTGAGCTCAGACCTTGGCGATTCCAGAGTGTCTGAGGCCCAGCGCCAGCGCCGCCAGGCCGGCCAGACGAGGGGAAGGGGATGGGGAGGTGGCAGGGTGGGCACCAGGAAGCCCTCTAAATGGGGGTCGGCTTTGGGAAGCTTTGTTTTTTCTGCTTTTCTTCCTGGGACCTCAGTGAGCCCTGGCCAAAAGGTGCACCTCCTTAAATCCTTTCTTTCGAGAGGAAAGGACCAGTACTAAGAAGTGACTGTGGGAGTGTGTGAGACCCTCTACACTTGCAGAAGCAGATAGGCAAGGACTGACAGGCCTCGGATCCTTCCCCCGCCCCCAGCCTCGGTTTCCCGGCTTTGTCCGGTGGAGAGGAGCGGGACAAGGGGAGGTGTGCGCAGGCCTCCGGGCCCCGCCCGGAGGAATCTGGTGGGACAGGCTGGCGGGTCCCAGGTGAGGACTCTTTGGAAAGGACCCAGAGTGGCTCCGGCAGGGGGAAGGGAGGGCGGGCACCTGGGGGTCACCCCCTCACCCCAGCCTCTGCCCTCCCCACAGTGCACCCTCGCTCCCCGGGGCAGTAGCAACGACTCTTTAACCAGGAAAAAAAAAAAAAAAAAAAAACCTCTCCCTGGCCCCGGGCCAGCGTCCCAGCCCCCCTCGCCGCCGCCGCCGCGCTCCAGCCAGGGAAAACAACTGCTCACTTCTCCCTGCGTCCTGCCCGCGCGCTCCCTGCTTCCCGGCGGCCGCGGGAGAGGAGCCCGGCCAGGGGGAGGCGCGGACCGGCCGCCGCTCGGCCTTCTTCTCCCCTCGCTCCTCCTCTCCGCCTCCACTCGCTCGGGCCTCCCCGCTCCGGCCTCAGTTCGGGGCCTGGCGGGCTTTCTCCCGGGTGGGGAAGTTTCTGGGCTCCCGCGGTGCAGCCTCCCTTGCCCGCTTGTCCCGGCCGCACCCGCGGTCCGCTCCCTGCCCTCGGCCTCGCCTGCTCTCCCCGGCTGCCCTCTGCACCCCTCTCCCGGGGCGCCCGGCTCTCGCTCCCCCAGCAGCGCACCGGGATCCCCCAGGTCCCCGAGCCCCCGCCCGCGCGCGCGCCCCTCGGGGTGGTGCGGCCCCGGATGCCCGGGCCCCTCGGGGCTGCAGGCGGCCTGGCTCCTGCGATGCGCGGGG